CTTTATTTGTACCCCGCTAACATCTCCTGAAGGACTCGGTGCGACTTACAAGAGGCCAAGGCCCAACACATCAATAAAACAACAGCATAAACAAATACAACAATAAATAAACTCATAAACTCATAAAACACAACAATAAGCATTAAAACAATAGCAATAAACATTAGACAATAACACCACGATACATTTAAGACTACAATATATTTGGGGGGTATGGACAATGGAAGATGGGATTTGCAGTACCTTCAACCAATTCAGCTCTGACTTCCACAAACCACTGAGATCCCCCACGAATTACAGACCTGGACCAAACTTGAAACACAGAACTCCCATGACCAACAGAAAATACTGGAGGAGTTTGGGAGGAATTGATAGTGATTTATGGGAGATGTAGTTCACCTACATCCAGAAAGGACGGAGAACCCAAATGACTATGGATCTGGACCAAACTTGGCATGAATACTCGATATGCCCAAATTTGAAAAATGGGGGAGTTTGGAGGAAATGGATCTTGACATTTGAGAGTTGCGGTTGTTGGGATTTATAGTTCCTCTGCCAATAAAGAACATTCTGAACTCCAACAGAAATGGAATTGAAGAAGTTTGGCATACAGAACTCCCATAACCAACAGAAATTATTGGAGAATTTTGGAGTTATTTTCCTGACATTTGGGAGTTACTGGGATGTATAGTTCCCCAGCAATCAAAGAGCATTCTGAACTCATGCAACCATGGAATGGACTCGAATTTGAAACAGAGAACTCACATGATCAACAGAAAATACTGGAGAGGCTTGGGGAAAATAGACCTTGGCATTTGGGAGATGCTGGGATATATAGTTCCCTCCCATCCAAAAGCATTCTGAGCTCATGCAACAATAGAATTTGGAGGGGGCGGGGCCGGCCAAGGCAGTTTCACGACCCCCCGAAAATGGCCGAACGACCCCCCGAGTGGTCGTGACCCCCAGGCTGAGAACCGCTGAAATAGGATAATGCAATCACGGCACGTAAACACAACCTGTCTTTCGGATCTCTCCCTGCTCCAGCTTCTCCCGCTGTTGTCTCAGAGGGCTGCGGCTCCAGATCCGGATCTTCTCCCCGTATTCTTCTCTCATCGTTCGGTGATGCGCTGAAACTGGGAGGCACAACAGAGTTGGTTTTGCAAGCCGCGGACTGAAGGCTGCTTTTTCAAACCCATTCATCGTAAGTTTCATACACACACTCAAGAGGAGAAGCTCCTTGCAATTATCGGGCCACTGGATTGTGAACCAAAAATTCCAGGCACATATGGAAGAGGGACAGAACTCCCCATCATTGACAAGAGCTGGAGAAGGGAGGAAGTAGGCCTTCCTCAGAGCTGGAGAAGGGAGCAAGTAGGCCTTCTCCACAGCTGGAGAAGGTAGAAAGCAGGTCTTTCACAGACAGAGCTGGAGAAGGGAGGAAGTAGGACTCTCCCAGAGCTGGAGAAGGGAGGAAGCAGGCCTTCCCTAGAGCTGGAGAAGGAAGTAAGCTTTTCCCAGAGCTGGAGAAGGGTGAAAGTAGGCCTTACTCAGAGCTGGAGAAGTGAGCAAGTAGTCCTTCCCCAGAGCTGGAGAAGGGAGGAAGTAGGCCTTCCCCAGAGCTGGAGAAGCTTTTTTCAGAGCTGGAAAAGGAAGCAAGCCTTCCTCAGTGCTGGAGAAGGGAGCAAGTAGGCCTTCCCCAGAACTGGAGAAGGAAGCAGGCCTTTCCCAGAGCTGGAGAAGTGAGCAAGTACTCAAAGCTGGAGAAGGTAGAAAGCAGGTCTTTCCCTCTCAAAGCTGGAGAAGGGAGGAAGCTTCCCCAGAGCCTGCTTTCACCTCAGAGCTGGAGAAGGGTGAGCTTTCACCTCAGAGCTGGAGAAGGGTGAAAGTAAGCTTTTCCCAGAGCTGGAGAAGGGTGAAAGTAGGCTTTCTTCGGAGCTGGAGAAGTGAGCAAGTAGTCCTTCCCCAGAGCTGGAGAAGGGAGAAAGTAGGCCTTACTCAGAGCTGGAGAAGGGAGCAAGTAGGCCTTCTCCAGAGCTGGAGAAGGGGGAAAGTAGGCAGACAACAGCCCCTCCAACACACGGACAACAAACAGCAAGAATACGTGCTAGTTACTGAATAAAGGAAGGCACCCGTCACCCCGCTTTCCACCCGCAGCCACTTACTCTCTCGCCTGGCTTCCCGTTCCTTCCGCCTCTCCTCCGCTCGCCTCTCCCGCTCCTTTATTTCCCGCTGCTCTTTCTGCTGCTCCCTCATTTTCCTCTCTCGCTCCCGCTTCCGCTCCAGCTGCTCCAGGCGATCCCTAGGGAGGTTTCCATTGGCCCACGTTACTCGTTTTCAAAGTGTTGGGTCTGTTTGTAATGCTGAGCATTTAGTACTCATGGCATTTTATCAATAATAACAATAATAATAATAATAATACTTGGGATTACCAAGTTTGATAAGCAAACCTATGAATGACTGTTTGGCCCAAGCCCACAGCCTTTTGCCTCCTTCTTTCAGGGAGGAAGAACACAAACAAACCAGGTTTGGTCCCATTAAACCAGTCTTTCTCAACCTTCTTAATGCCGCGACCCCTTAATACGGTTCCTCATGTCGTGGTGACCCCCCAACCATCACATTATTTTCGTTGCTACTTCAAAACTTGTCATTTCGCTATTGTTATGAATCATAATGTCAATATTGGATATACAGGATGTATTTGTATTCACTGGACATAATTTGGCACAAATACCTATATGCTCAAATTTAAATACTGGTGTGTGTGTGTGTGGGGGGGGGGGAGGTTAATTGATTTTGTCATTTGAGAGTTGTAGGACCTGGGATTTATAGTTCACCTACAATCAAAGAGCATTTTGAACTCCACAAACGATGAAATTGGACCAAATTTGGCATGACCAACAAAAAATACCGGAAGGGTTTGGTGGGGATTGACCTTGGTGGAGTTTGGGGACATTTCGGAGTTGTGGTTGCTGGGATTTATAGTTCACCTACAATTAAAGAGCATTCTGAGCTCCACCTATGATGGAATTGAACCAAACTTGGCATACAGAACTCCCATGACCAACAGAAAATACTGGAAGGGTTTGGTGGGCATTGACCTTGAGTTTGGGAGTTGTAGTTCACCTACATCCAGAGAGCACTGTGGACTCAAGGAATGATGGATCTGGACCAAACTTTACACGAATGATCAATATGCCCAAATGTGAACACTGGTGGAGTTTGGGGAAAATAGACCTTGACATTTGGGAGTTGTAGTTGCTGGGATTTATAGTTCACCTACAATTAAAGAGCACTCTGAACTCCACCAACAATGGAATTGAACCAAACTTGGCATGACCAACAAAAAATACTGGTAGGGTTTGGTGGGCATTGACCTTGAGTTTTGGAGTTGTAGTTCACCTACATCCAGAGAGCATTGTGGGCTCAAACAATATTAGATCTGGACCAAACTTGGAATGAATACTCTATATGCTGAAATGTGAACGCTGGTGGAGTTTGGGGAAAATAAACCTTGGCATTTGGGAGTTGTAGTTGCTGGGATTTATAGTTTGCTTACAATCAAGGAGCATTCTGAACCCCACTAACAATAGAATTGGGCAAACTTCCCACACAGTGCCCCCATGCCTTGAAAGGACTCGCTGGCGAGAGCCTCCCTCCAGCCTTGCACGCTCTCCCTCGCCCCCACACGTTTACTACACATGTGGTGAGCATGCCTGCTCTCCCCTCCCCGCTTGGAGTCTCAGAAACAGCCCTCCCTTTGGCTGAGAGGTCAGCCAATCACAACGGAGGAGAGCTTTTGGTGGGAGGATTTGCCATCTGCGTCCAAAAAGGAAGAGCAGGACAGGCAGAGACACCATCAGAAATATGTGTTTTCCGATTATCTTTGGCGACCTCTCTGAAAACCTCCCTCGTGACCCCCCGCCCCCAGAGATCCCCACCTTCAGGTTGAGAAACTCTACCTTAAACCATGGTTTCAATTGACCACGGTTTGCCAAGGTAAACAGCCCTTGGGTTTGTGTCCCAGGGAAGGAAATGGGGGATTTGTTTACCTCTCTCTCCGCGAATGCTCCCGCGCCATCTCCCTCCTTTTCTGCCTCTCCCACTCGCGGCGGGCCTTGTCCTGCTCTTCGCGGTGCCTTTTCCGACGCTCGTGCTCGCGCTCCTTCTCTTTCACCCTCACGTGCTTCCCTAGCCATGAAAAAATACAAAGGAAAGGCCAAATTGTTACCCAAAGAAAGGGAATAATAATAATAATAATAATAATAATAATAATAATAATAATAGATGCATCTCTCGCAAGCGTCTTCTGATTTCCTGGCCACAGGCCTTGACAGACTTTGTATTTCTAGGGGCAAAGATGACTGCAGATGCAGACTGTGGCCAGGAAATCAGAAGACGCTTCCTTCTTGGGAGGAGAGCAAGGACCAATCTCGATAAAATAGTGAAGAGTAGAGACATCAGACTGGCAACCAAGATCCATTGCCTAGTCAAAGCCATGGTATTCCCTGTAGTAACCTACGGGTGTGAGAGCTGGACCTCAGGGAAGGCTGAGCGGAGGAAGAGAGATGCTTTTGAGCTGTGGTGTTGGAGGAAAGTTCTGAGAGTGCCTTGGACTGCGAGAAGATCCAACCAGTCCATCCTCCAGGAAAGCCCGGCTGCTCATTGGAGGGAAGGAGACTAGAGGGAAAGTTGAAGTCCTTTGGCCACATCATGAGGAGACAGCAAAGCCTAGAGAAGACAATGATGCTGGGGAAAGTGGAAGGCAAAAGGAAGAGGGGCCGACCAAGGGCAAGATGGATGGATGGCATCCTTGAAGTGACTGGACTGACCTTGAAGGAGCTGGGGGTGGTGACGGCCGACAGGGAGCTCTGGCGTGGACTGGTCCATGAGGTCATGAAGAGTCGGAGACGACTGAACGAATGAACAACAACAACTCTCGCAATAGATTTTTGCCGTGATAGCTAAAGAGAAACACACAGAATGAGGGCATAACTGTCAACAACAAGGAGCGGAATGAGAGAGAAGCAATAATTATTGCATCCTACCTGGGAGCATCCCAAAGCATCACAGAAAAACCACTTATGTTACGTATCTCCCTTTACGTCCCACCCCGGAGTTTGAGATCATCTGGGGAGGCCCTGCTCTCGACCCCACCACTGTCACAAGTGAGGCTGGTGGGGACGAGAAGCAGGGCCTTCTCAGTGGTGGCCCCTCACCTGTGGAACTCACTCCCGGGGAAATCAGAGCATCATCATCCCTCCTCTCCCTCAGGAGGAGGGTGAAGACATGGTTATGGGACCAGGCCTTTGGGCAACCAGGCAATTAAATAAGACAATTAAATAAGACAATCAGACGAGCAAGATCAGCAGGATTGTCGAAGTGGAATCAAAAACAGATCCAGGAGGAAGAATTAGGTTTGTATTGATTTTATGGATTTTATTGGGATAATTGCATGAATTGTGGTAACTATGAATTGTTGTACTTCTGTGATGATTGTTTTGTGTGGCAGGCATCTAAGCGTGCCTTTGCTGTTGTAAGCCGCCCTGGGTCCCCTTCGGGGTGAGAAGGGCGGGGTACAAGAACCCCAAATAAATAAATAAATAAATAAATAAATCCCACAAATGAACATAATATTTTTATTTATATAGATACATATAATATTGATCCTAATATTATAATGTAATGCAATACTAGTAATAATTTTTTTTTAAAAAAAAAACAAAAACCACTGAGCTGCTGAACTTGCTGACCAACAGGTTAGCGGTTCGAATCCGGGGAGTGGGGTGAGCTCCCGCTGTTAGCCCCAGCTCCTGCCAACCTAGCAGTTTGAAAACATGCAAATGTGAACGGATCAAGCAGGAAGGTAACGGTGCTCCATGCAGTCATGCTGGCCACATGACCTTGGAGGTGTCTACGGACAATGCCGGCTCTTCGGCTTAGAAATGGAAATGAGCACCAACCCCCAGAATCAGACACAACTAGGTTTCGTGTCAAGGGAAAATCTTTACCTTTACCCATATAATGTGTATATATCAGGCATGGGCCGGGCCAGTGGCAGATGGATGGAGAGTGTTTGTGTCAACTAATTCAGACAGCACATAATAATAATAATAATAATAATAATAATAATAATAATAATAATACAATATTTAAAATGGGCAACAATTTTGACCCACTTTAACAATATTTCTGTGGAAGACCCCAAGGGTCATCCAGTCCAACCCCTTTCTGCCATGCAGGAAAAACACAATCAAAGCTCCCTCAACAGATGGCCATCCAGGTTTTGTAATAATAATAATAATAATAATAATAATAATAATAATAATAGCATAAACCCCAGAGACAATCTAGTCCAACCCCATTTTGCCATGCAGGAAAAGCACAATCAAAGAACCCCAAACAGATGGCCATCCAGCCTTTGTATTAGTAGTAGTAGTAGTAGTAGTAGTAGTAATAATAATAATAATAATAGCAGAAATTCAACAGGCCATCTAGTCCAACCCCATTCTGCCATGCAGGAAAAGCAAAATCAAAGCACCCCCAACAGATGGTCATCCAGCCTTTATAATAATAGTAAGAAGAAGAAGAATATCATAAACCCCAGAAGCAATCTAGTCCAACCCCATTCTGTCATGCAGGAAAAGCACAAAGCACCCCCAATAGATGGCCATCCAGCCTTTGTAGTAGTAGTAGTAGTAATAGTAGTAGTAATAATAATAATAATAATAATAATAATAATAATAGCAGAAACCCGAGAGGCAATCTAGTCCAATCTAGTTTCTGACCCCATGCAGGAAAAGCACAATCAAAGCACCCCCAGCAGATGGCTGAGAGCAATAGAGGCAGGGTGGAGGAGGAAGAGGAGGGAAAGCTTGAAGGGTGAGGAAGAGGAGGGAGGAAGAGAAGGGATGCTGCCATGGGGGAAATAAAGAGAGCGAAAGAGAAGGAAAGAAGACAGTGCTAGGTTTGGACGGTGGCCATGGAGGGACATTCCTTTTGCAAAGGCCGCAAGGAGAAGAGCAAGACCGGCACCTTCTGCGGAGTGGCTGCGATGCCGCCGCTTCTCTTTCCGCTTCTCGTCCTTCCGGTGATGGGCCTTCTCCTTTCGCGACATCTGCTGCGGGGGTTTGATGGCCAGGGAGTCGTCCTCCTCTCCCCTAGAAAAAGGAGAGGGTTGTGAGGGACGAAACAACCATCCCTTCCACAGCAATACATGCTCCGTTGATGCACAGCAACCCTTATATTTCTGGTCCTTTTTACTTCCCAATTAAGACTAGCAGTCGAGGAGATTAAAACTCAATGGTTTAATTCTGCAGCGTAACTAAGGACGGTCTCCTAATCAAGAGAAGCCAAAGATTGCGTCACAAAAAGTGCCACGTTTGACTGTCCCTGAATTATGGGTTTTGTAATCTCAAATTGACGCAAACACGCACATGCGTACACATGAAAACAAACATGTATTCTGTGCATTTTTAATGGGGGCAGAAGACAGTTCCACTTTGTGTTTCTTTGGTTGAGGGTGAACTACAACTCCCAGAAAGGAAGATCAGTCCCCGTCCTCACTCCTCCCCCCCCCCAAAAAAAACCCTCCAGTAATTAAATTTTAGCTTAACAGATATGTGTGCCAAGTTTGGTTCAGATCCATCTGTGTTTGGGTTCATAGTGCTCTCTGGATGTAGGTGAACTACAACTCCCCCAGATCAAGGTGAATTTTCCCCAAAGACCTCCAGTATTTTTTGCTCGTCACGGGGGCTGAAAATATTGAAATCCCCGCCCGGCAGTCTCTTACCGGTCCTCCATAGAATCCTCTCTGCGGTAAGGCGAATTCCTGATCGTGATCTCCATGCGGTGATCCCTCAATTCTCCCTCTTCAAGGGAATCGCGCTTTGAATCCCGATCATCAGACTAAAATGGATTTTTTGGGGGGAAAACATATTTAGAAATTGCATTCCTCTGTATTTTCTGTATCTTTTAGTATACATTTATAGATGGCATGGTTAGGTCAGGTCGGAATCTTCGTTATTCGGAATAAAGTCGGAAAAATTACCTTTTTGAAGCTATTTTGGACTTTTTCAGGAGACCAGAAGTCCCCTTGCCCTTCCGAAAATAATCTTGCCTATTTTTTTTCCCAACTCAGGAAATGAGTCGGAAACTATTCAACTTTTCCCCCGCTTCTGAGAAGCCAATTGTAAACCAGAGAAGGGTGAATTTCCTCCCGTGTGCTTTTCCTGCTTCTGGCTCAAGCCAGAGAAGCCACTTTTAAGCCAGAGAAGGGTGAATTTCCTCCTGTTCGCTTTTCCCGCTTGTGGCTCAAGCCAGAGAAGCCACTTTTAAGCCAGAGAAGCCACTTTTAAGCCAGAGAAGGGTGAATTTCCTCCTGTTTGCTTTTCCCGCTTCTGGCTCAAGCCAGAGAAGCCACTTTTAAACTAGAGAAGGGTGAATTTCCTCCCGTGTGCTTTTCCTGCTTCTGGCTCAAGCCAGAGAAGCCACTTTTAAACTAGAGAAGGGTGAATTTCCTCCTGTTTGCTTTTCCTGCTTCTGGCTCAAGCCAGAGAAGCCACTTTTAAGCCAGAGAAGGGTGAATTTCCTCCTGTTTGCTTTTCCCGCTTGTGGCTCAAGCCAGAGAAGCCACTTTTAAACCAGAGAAGGGTGAATTTCCTCCCGTTTGCTTTTCCCGCTTCTGGCTCAAGCCAGAGAAGCCAGTTTTAAACCGGAGAAGGGTGAATTTCCTCCCGTTTGCTTTTCCCGCTTCTGGCTCAAGCCAGAGAAGCCAGTTTTAAACCAGAGAAGGGTGAATTTCCTCCCGTGTGCTTTTCCCGCTTGTGGCTCAAGCCAGAGAAGCCACTTTTAAACTAGAGAAGGGTGAATTTCCTCCTGTTTGCTTTTCCTGCTTCTGGCTCAAGCCAGAGAAGCCACTTTTAAACCAGAGAAGGGTGAATTTCCTCCCGTGTGCTTTTCCCGCTTGTGGCTCAAGCCAGAGAAGCCACTTTTAAACCGGAGAAGGAAGGAATTTCCTCCCGTTTGCTTTTCCTGTTTCTGGCTCAAGCCAGAGAAGCCAGTTTTAAACCGGAGAAGGAAGGAATTTCCTCCGCTTGCTTTTCCCCACTTCTGGAGTAAAACAACTACTTTCAAAGTAAAGGCCACCCAATGAAACAGGAAATAACACTTTCAAGCCATTAACGAACTGAGTCGGAAGTTTCAAAAAGTTCTGAACATTTCTTTCCCGTGAAAATCAAACTATCAGTGCCCCCTACATCCGAAACAAGTTTTGAACTATTTTTAATAATAATAATAATAATAATAATAATAAACTGTATTTATACCCCGCCACCATCTCCCCAAGGGACTCAGAGCAGCTTACATGAGGCCAAGCCCAACAACACATCAAAAACAACAAGCAATAATAAAACAACAAGCAATAAACAAAATAAACAATACAATTAATATAACTCACAAGTAGACAATAACACACAAGAATTTAAAAACCTATGGCTGGGCCAGATGTAATAGTTAAAACTATAATATTTATATTATAATGTAATGCAATATAATATAATATATAATTATATATTTATATTACATGTAATATTACTAATAATATTACAATATAATGGTATAGTACAATATAGAAATATTTAATACTGATATTGTACTATGTTAATAATATATTGTATGTATATATATCTTGTAAGCCGCTCTGAGTCCCCTTCGGGGTGAGAAGGGCGGCATATAAATGTCGTAAATAAATAAATAAATATATATATACATACATATATGAACATTTTAGGACTATGTGTTTTTAACTACTACTACTACTACTACTACTACTACTAGGACTACTATTATTAAAATAGGAGCCCCTGGTGGTGCAACCGATTGGTCAGTGGTTTGAATCCAGGGAGAGCTCCTGTCTGTTAGCTCCAGCAACCCATGTGGGGACACGAGAGAAGCCTCCAACAAGGATGGTAAAACATCAAACAACTGGGTCACATCCTTGCAG